GTGGGAGAGGGAGAAGCAGGCTTCCTGCTGAGCAGGGAGCCCGATGCGGGGCTCGATCCCAAGACCCTGGGATCATGACCTGAGCCGAAGGCAGATGCTTAACGACTGAGCCACCCAGGCACCCCAATTTCTGGGCTCTTAATTCTGTTCCACTGGTCTGTGTCTGCTTTTAAGCCAGTGCCGTACTATTTTAATTACTACAGCTTTTTGATATAGCTTGAAATCAGGAAGTGTGATTCCTCCCACTGTGTTCTTTTTTCTCAGGATTGTTTTGGCTATTTGGAATCTTTTGTGGTTCTATATAAGTGTTAGGATTGTTTTGCCTCCCTCTGTAGTAAGTGCTATTTGAATCTTGATAGAGAGGGATTGCATTCAATTTATAGATTGTTTTGGTAGTATGGAAATTTTAACAATAATCTTCTAATCCATGAACACACGATACCTTTCCATTCATGTGTATCTTCTTTGATTTCCTTCATCAATATCTTATAGTTTTCATTGTACATGTGTTTCGTTTATTCCTAAGTTTATTGTTTTTGATGATATTATAAATGAGATTTCTTTTTCAGACAATTCTTTGTTAGTGTATAGAAACACTACTGATTTTTGGATGTTAATTTTGTATCCTGCAACTTTACTGAATTTATCAATTACATCTAACGGTTGCTTGGTGGAGTCTTTAGGATTTTCTTTTTTCCCCTCTTTCTTTTTTATTTTAAATTCCTGTATAGTTAACATATAGTGTTATACTAGTTACAGGTGATAGTTACAATATAGTGATTCAGTAATTCCATACATCACCCAGTGCTCATCACAAGTGTACTCCTTAATCCCCATTGCCTATTTTACCCATCCCCCCATCTACCTCCCTTCTGGTAACCATCAATTTGTTCTCTAAAGTTAAAAGTCTGTTTCTTGGTTTGTCTCTTTTTTCCTTTGCTCATTTTTTTGGTTTTGTTTTGTTTTTTAAATTCCACATATGAGAAAATCATATAGTATTTGTCTTTCTCTGACCGACTTATTTCACTTAGTGTTATACTCTCTAGCTCCATCCATGTGATTGCAAATGGCAAGATTTTGTTTTTTTATGGCTGAATAATACTCTATCATGTATACATGTATAACATCTCCTTTATCCATTCATTTATCAATGGACACTTAGGTTGTTTCCATAATTTGGCTTTTATAAATAAAGCTGCTATATATAAAATCATGTCATATGCAAATAGAGACAATTTTACTTCTTCCTTTCCAGTTCTGATGGCTTTTATTTCTTTTTCCTGCCTGACTGCTCTGGCTAGCACTTCTAGTACTTTGTTGAATAGGAGTAGTGAGAATGGGCACCCTTGTCTTGTTCTTAGTCTTAAAGGAAACTTATCCTTTTACCATAAGTATGATGTTAGCTGTGTCAGCTTATCATATATGGCCTATAATATGTTAAGGTTCATTCCTTCTAAACCTAATTTATTAAGAGTTTTTATCATGAGTGGATGTTGAATTTTGTCAAATGCTTTTTCTGTTTTAATTAAGATGATCATGTGCTTTTTTTCTTTCATTCTATTTTGATGTATCACATTGATGGATTTGTTTATGTTGAACCATCCTTACATCCCAGGGTTAAATCCCACTTGATCATGGTGAATAATCCTTTTATGTGCTGCTGAATTTGGTCTGCTACTATTATATTGAGAATTTTTGCATCTATATTCATCAGGGACATTGGTGTGTAGTTTTCTTATAGTGTCCTTTCCTGGTTTTGGTATCAGAATAATGCTGGCCTTATAAAATAAGTCCTTTTTGATTTTTTGGAAGAGTTTGAGAAGGTTCGCATTATTCTTTAAACGTTTGGTAAACTTCACCAGTGAAGCCATCTGGACCTGAGCTTTGCTTTTGTTAGGAAATTTTTGATTACTGATTCAATCTCCTTACTAGTAATTAATCTGTTCAAATTTTCTATTTCTTCCTGATTCAGTCTTGGTAGGTGGTGTGTTTATAAGAATGTCTCCCATTGCATCTAGGTCATCCAGTTTGTTCGTATATAGTTGTTCACAGTATTTTCTTATGATCATTTGTATTTTTGACATATCAATTGTCTCCTTTGTCATTTATAATTTTGCTGATTTGGGCACCTCTCTTTTCCTTGGTTAGTCTAGCTAAAAGTTTCTCAATTTTTTCTTTTTTAATTTTTTAAAAAATTTTTGTATTAACATATAATGTATTTGTTTCAGGGGTACCAGTCTGTGACTCATCAATCTTACACAATTCACAGCGCTCACTATGGTACATACCCTCTCCAATGTCCATTACCCAGCCACCCCCTCCCTCCCACCCCCCTCCACTCCAACAACCCTGAGTTTGTTTCCTGAGATGAAGAGTCTCTTATGGTTTATCTCCCTCTCTGGTTTCATCTTGTTTCATTTTTCCCTCCCTTCCCCTATGATCCTCTGTCTTGTTTCTCAAATTCCTCGTATCAGTGAGATCATATGATACTTATCTTTCTCTGATTGACTTATTTTGCTTAGCATAATACCCTCTAGTTCCATCCACGTTGTTGCAAATGGCAAGATTTCATTTTTTTTTATTTCTGAGTAATAGTCCATTATATATACATATACCACATCTTCTTTATCTATTCATCTGTCGACAGACATCTAGGCTCTTTCCATAGTTTGACTATTGTGGACATTGCTGCTATAAACATTGGGGTGCATGTGCCCCTTCGGATCACTACATTTGTATCTTTGGGGTAAATACCCAGTAGTGCAATTGCTGGGTTGTAGGGTAGCTCTATTTTCAACTTTTTGAGGAA